AGAAAATGTTTATGAGAAATGTGGACTGGCCTTAAAATTTTCCTTTCTCCAATTACTAAAACCATATATTTGCTTTTACAGAAATTAATATTGATTTATATTGAGATACAACTATAATTAGTATATTTATTTACCTTCGTCGTACAATTATAATTACTATAATCACTATCATCTATGTCCATTATGTTTACGTTACTCATTAAATATTGATAGTTTTAATGTTAAATATTTCCGCAAAAATATTCGCAACCCTCTTTTGCAGAGGAAAATTTTCACCGTGAATCGATCGAATTCGACATTTTGGCGATTTTTTCTGAAAAATTTCCTGCGATTCTCACACGATGGCGTTCTAAAATCAGGGTAGCTTTTGCCAAGAGCACGTTGAAGGAGATTCTTCTTCGTTCTGACGCTTTTCAGGAATTAATGTCGTTAAGTTCGCGTTACACGACCTGCAGCAGCAAATGAAGTTGCCTCTTTGAGATTGAGATATTTTTTTTTCCGTTTGCGAGGAGCGACGAAATTTTGCTTTCGAAACTCGATTACTCGGTTGCCTCTCGCGTCTTATAAAATTTAACGGAATACCCCGTGCGAGCAGTGTAATTTCTGTTTTATAATTACAGAAATTACGAATATGATTTTTCACAAGAACGTATTATCGAATATTCGAATGATACTCATTTAACTAATTTTGTGATTTAATAGTTTGTTAAATACGTATATGCACGGGTAAGAAAATCAATGTGTGATTGGAATTCAATAATTCAGTGGAAGGTGGGCGTTATTATCAGGCGGGAAGTCAGAGGTCTGACTTATCATTTGTTGGACTACTGAGAATTATTTAATGTACCAGAATTGTAGTCTGTTTTGAAGTAAGAATTTGTTAAATGGTTTTATATACTGTTTTATAAAATTTAGAGGACATTACTTGATTTGCATTTGTGTATTATTTATTCTGATATTTATCATAGTAAAAATGTGTAACGTGATAGAAAATTATTCAACAGCTGTTTTTATTGCTAGTAAATTCTTGATAGTTATATTTTTCGATTTATTTTAATCGACTAGAAATAGGTAGCATTTAATATAATGAAACTAATTGCTAAATTACTTATTTATGTACATTCTTAATGCAGTAGTGTTACAAATCCGTACTGCAGAATTATTTATTTCCAAAGATTAAATTTATAATATTAGTTCCCTTAGAAGTGCAGTACTTGTTAGTATATTTGTCGCCTGACCATTACTAGACTTATTCTACTACGTAGAATATTTATGTGAATTTTAAGTAAAGTATACTTATTTATACTTACTTTTCCATTTATTATTTATTACCTTTTTATTTCATTAAGTGTTTCTACTTTTATCGTTACTTTTGTCGTATTACTTTTAGCACATATCAAATTCAACGAATTTGCGATTAATTTTACATTCACACCTAAATATTAATGCTACCATGAATATACTTAATAGGATGTTGATCTTATTCCAGAAATGGTTCACATTCGATGTATTCTATAGCTGAGAAGATGACGTGTTAAAGTATTTTCTAGACCAAATGCTTTAAAATTTGATTTTCAATTAAATCCCGTTTTAATGTGGGGGCAAATGCCATTAAAAATTCATGAACTTCCTATTTGCGTCATTGCCAGTTCTGTCCCCTTTCATCGATCACGCGAGGAGCTTCATTTAATGACAAAGTCTAGTCGACTTTATCACGAATTTTGTCGGCTCATGTAATATTGAGGCCCATCCTCTCTGACTTTTTTAATGAATATCTAATTTCTTACGAATTAACCAACAACATATATCCTTTTACATAGGTTTCCTATTATTATACAAATTTTGACATTGTTTTAATATTTAATATCGCGTAAAATATTTTTTAAACCAGCGAGGCAAAACATTTACTCAGAACCAAATGAAATCGACGATATAATGAAGTAACTAGCAACTAACAAATTAATTAACAAATTGTTTTACTCTGACCATAGATGTCAGGTCCAGTATCATATCTTGGCATAACTTCACAAATTTTTAGCATTAATTTCAATAATAATAAAAATTTCAGTACATCAATAATAGGTCAAGATAAATTTCCCATAATTGACACATTAACATCTCACAAAGTTAAAAAAGTTTTCTTCCATTTTTGAAATATTGAGAACAGAACACATTTATAATACCATTCCATAAGGGTAAATGTTTTAAAATATATCATACCAAAATTACTACCTTATTAACGGTAGAAGCTCTTTTAAAAATTTGTAATTATATTTGACAAGATATTTAATTAATTTAATATTAATAAATTTGAAACACCGCAATTTATGCATTTATTGGTGCACGAATGATGCATTTATTATTTAGTATAATACACAGGACTCATACCATATCAGTCGCCAATGTATTAACAAGAGATAGATTTTACACCATTATCTCTCAAATATTTCCTTTCTTCTATTCCGAATATTTCTATATTTCTATTTCGATACTTTCTATTTCGATACTTTCTATTTCTCGTTACCTCTCTCGAAATATTATTCTACGTAATATTTTTATCCCCTAAAGCTCTACTACTCTCCCCCACTCTAAATTTCACAAATGTATCAATCGTAGACCGGCGCATGAATTTATTCGAAGAAAATTACGTACGATGTACACGAGTCATTTCGAAAATACGATAACGGAGATATAGGTTCGATAAACGAAATACCAGCGAGATTGGGAACGAAGAGAAGCTATAAACAGCAGCTCGACAGACGAATGAACGCGCAGATGCACGTAACGACGCCGGAAATGGAGGAACTTGATTGTTTACGAAGCTTATTATCCGCATTAGGTTTATTAGCCGATACGATACGCCAGGAAATCGAACGCTCTCAGAATCTTGGCCTACAGGGACCTTAGGAACGTGTACACACCTCCTGGTCGTTTATTCTGCCAACATAGTGGTTTCTAATCGCATTACCGTATTTCTCCCTCTATCGTTTTGCGGATATCTCCTCGACCTAATCCGTGTTTTCCGAACCGATGCACTGTGGTCTGAGAAAAGTCTGAAATTTGTCTTTTTAAGTAATCTCATGGCTCTAATGCTATGAACAAATTAATGTAAATTTGATATACATCAATTTTGGCACGGATTTTACAATTTTTTCATTTTTGTGATATACGTTATTGTTCTATTAATTACCTAATAATATATGAACATATTAATTGTTTAATAGAGTAAGTAGAAAATTAATTATATTCCTTGAATATAATGAGTATTGAGTGAATGAAAATTGATAGGTGTGTCAATTTCGAATTTTAATTTTAATATTATTATTTTCTTTCATTTTTATCGGGTGTGTTTTAGGAAGATTGGAACTGTGATTTTCGAACTTTTCTTTAATGGAAATTTTGTCTCTTTGTTACAGGTGCAAAGAACCTGGAAGGTATTTGAAGGATCTTCCTCCCACAGCAGTGATAATCTGCTTCCATAACGAGGCCTGGTCAGTATTGCTGAGGACGGTTCATTCCGTTTTAGACAGGTCACCAGAGCACCTTATACAGGAAATTATTTTGGTCGACGACTACTCCGACATGCGTAAGTGAATAATCTATACTTGTTATTTTTCCTAACATTTTATCTTTGATTTTTCTATCCCTTCCTTATCAACTCTTTGCGGTCGGCAGATTTCGGCAGAGCAATTTTAGCGTTTCGCAGTTACTTTTCTGTGCAGGATTTAAAGTCAATATATGGATACTAACCCTTTGCACTCGAGAGGTGAGCTTCAGTCACCATTTCATAAAATTTGGAAGATCGATATTAATTAATATATCAAATAATTCTGGAATTCTATTATTATACAATTTTTTATTTACTGCTCAAAAAAGTATCGTCAATTTTTTAGTAGAGATTCTTTGAATTTCTACTCTTCTCTAGCCAAAAAATCGTCGAGTGCAAAGGGTTAAAACGCACAGAATTTGTTGAAACTAATTTGTGTTTAATACTACTTATAATACGTAAAAATAAAAAATTTTTAATTTCTCTAATTTTCTGTAGTTTTCTGTATTTTTTGACTTGCGAACGGCCCCGTTGTGGGGACATCGACCGCAAAGGGTTAATCTACTCCATTACTGTCTAGTATTTTTCTTTATCTGTTCTTTCCTTTCCCCCCCTTATTCCCATGAATGGAATATTTGATTACTATTTTCACTGTTTAAAAAATTATGTAAAAATCCAAGTTGTCCCCATTAAAAATGACAAGTTATCTTTAAAACAAAGTATCCCTTGTTTAACGTTTCATTTAGAAATAATATTCGTGTTGGAATTATCTGTGCCTTGAATTCTGCATCAACCACTTTCATCATAAAAGATGCATAATGATAATTGAAGATCGCGAAGCAAAAATATAAGTCGCGTTTTTTATAATAAATCGGTTTAAACATTCAGTACGCTTTCAACCAATCCTCTTTAGCCAAAATTCTCTTTTTATTTACTTGCGAGATTAAATATACGCTCGTACCACTCAGCAAAATAGCAAAATCGTTCGGTAATCCGAAGGATGTACAGCTCCTATACTACTCGGGGAAAATATCGAATAAAGAATCAAGATACGAATGCAACGATTTAATTAAAATCAATAAAATAAACTAGCTTAGGACAACGAATATTAATTGAAACATTAATTAAAGCACGATAATTTACAATTCGTTAGAAATAATAAAATAATGAAATAGTCTAACAATTTTATTTTATATTATAATATTCTTCTCATAAATACAAATCATACTCCATGATTAATGCAAACACATATCACATTCAATTTCCAACTCTTACAGAAACGATGCAATACAAGTATCATCAATTTAAGTGACATCCAAAAAATTATTAAAAATCTGCAATAAAACTACCCATAAATTGGAATTGCAAATATTCATTTAAACGTTAATAAAAGCACAATAATTTACAATTCGTTACAAATAATAAAATAGTTTAACAATTTTATTTTATTCTTCTCATAAATATAAATCATACTCCACAATCAGTACAAACATATATCACATACAATTATCACTCCTACAGAAATAAAGTAATACAAGTATTATACAAGTATCAATTTAAGAGACAATAAAAGAATATATTTTTTAAAATTAATAATAAAACTGTCAATTAAAATTTGGGACAATAAATATTCATTTAAACATTAATGAAAGGATGATATTTTATAATTTGTTACAAATAACAAAGTACTTTGACAATCTTATTTCATTCTTCTTATAAGTACAAAATCATACTCCACAATAAATGCAAACACGCTACATCGAATTTCTAAATCCTACAGAAACAAAGCAATACAAGTATCATCAATTTTAGAGACAATAAAAAATAAATATTCATAAATTAATACAACCACGCTTAAATTAAAACTGTAAATATTCATTTAAATATTAACAAAAGCAGAATAATTTACAACTTATTACAAACAATAAAGTAGTCTGTCAATCTTATTTCATTATTCTCATAAATACAAAATCATACTCCACAATCAATGCAAACACACCACATCGAATTTTCAATTCCTACAGAAACAAAGCAATACAAGTATTATACAAGTACCAATTTAAGAAACAATACAAAGATATAATTTTTAAAATTAATAATAAAACTGTCAATTAAAAATTAGGATAATGAATATTCATTTAAACATTAATGAAAGGATGATAATTTATAATTTGTTACAAATAACAATATTGTCTAACAATCTTATTTCATTCTTCTCATAAGTACAAAATCATATTCCACAATCAATGCAAACACACTACATCAAATTTTCAATTCCTACAGAAACAAAGAAAAACAAGTATTATACAAGTATCAATTTAAGAGACAATAAAAAAACATATTTTTTAAAATTAATAATAAAGCTATCAATTCCAAATCAGGACAATGAATATTCATTTAAATTTTAATAAAAGGACGATGATTTATAATTCGTTACAAATAACAAAGTACTCTGACAATCTTATTTCATTCTTCTCATAAATACAAAATCATATTCCACGATCAACACTACCATCTACCACATCAACTTCGTGGTTTCTTCGCGACGACAGAAAATCGTTATCGAGGGATGCTCCGCCGTCCGAGGAATCGTAACGCTCGAGGACTCACGCGGTGTTTCGCGGCGTATCGGCGCTGGTTCGCCGTGCAAGCGTATCTCTATTCAGCTCGCGGGCGATTCGTTATCGAGGCGGTGTTCGTGGCCCCGCGATGGATCGATTAATCGCGATCCATCTCCCGTTGGGAGCCCGTAACGATCCGGTCAGCGTTGAATAGCAGGGAAAGCTGGCGTCGACGCGTTGCCGCGCGTGTACACGGAAAATTCCGACAGCTTGATGCATGCCAACGATCCCGAGACGTTTGATATCTTTCGCAGCCGATCGTTCGCCGATGCAAAAATTTGCCTGCTCCCGACGTTCGCGTCCCGACGCCGCGAGGAAACTTTGACGGAAGATCGATTGTCTCCTTCCGTCGCGCGAACACTATTATCTCCGCGAGAAGTGTGCATTGACAGCCTGATTTCCACGCTCCTTCGCCGCGATTTTCGTGAAAGACGATTTTGCGGCTGTTGGAAATGGAGTTTGCGAAATCTCGAGAGTGTTGATATTAGAACTGCCAAAGGAGTGAAAATTGTTTGCCTCGAGTTTCTGTTGTTGTTGCAGATATCCTTCTCACGGTATTCATTGCTGGTTTGTGTGCAAATAGGACTGAAACTTATTTATTCTTCGTATGCGATTTTAATTATTTATCTATTTGTTTAGTTTAACAGAAAATAGATTCAAAAATAAAGGAATATCGTGTAGAATTTAATCATTTAAATTTAGTATCGAGGCTACGGTTCGTGATGACTTTTAAAGCTCATAGATTTAAAAGATAGGAATATTATTAGAAAATATTTGTGGGAATAAATGAAAAATTTTCAATAATGATAAATAATATTTTATTATGCGAAATATTAGCATCGACTTTATCCCAGCTAACAGATAATATAACTATGTACTCTTCACTACAGTCTACGTGAATATATATATTTATCTCAAACAAATTTCTCAGGATATAGATGGATGAAGCTTCATCCTGACAGATTAAAATTAATTAAAATTCCCTACCCCTATTCACAAATTTAATTCCATATATTACCGAATAAAAGTCAGAAAATAGACATTTCTTCGAAAAAAGGAATCCCAGGTAAAAATATAGAATAATCTCAGACAAATTTCTCACGATATAGATGAATGAACTCTCATTCTGATAGATTAAAATAAATTAAAATTTTCTACTCCAATCCACAAATTTAATTTCATATATCACTGAATAAAAATTAGTAAATCGACATTTCTTTGAAGAAACGAATCCCAGGATCCTAAGGTGAGAAGTCCACGTAAAAATGTATAATAATCTCAGACTAATTTCCTACGATATAAATCAATAAATCTTCATCCTAGCCGATTAAAATTAATTAAAATCTTCTGCCGCTACTCATAAATTTAATTCAGCCACTCTGTAAATTTCATACGGCCATTAGTAAAAATCAGAAAATCGTCGTTTTTCTAAAGAAACAACTCCCAGGATCTTAAGGTAAAGTCCATGTGAAAATATATAATAATCTCTCCAAAATTTCTCAAGATATAGATCAATGAATCTTCACCCTGGGCGATTGAAATTAATTAAAATTTCCTACCCCTACTCACAAATTTAATTCCATATATCAGTGAATAAAAATTAGAAAATCCACATTTCTCCAAGGAAACGAATCCCAGGATCCTAAGCTGAAGTCCACGTAAAAATGTATAATAATGTCAGACAAATTTCTCAGGATACAGATGAATGAAGCTTCATCCTAGCCGATTAAAATTAATTAAAATCTTCTACCTCCACAAACAAATTTAATTCCATATATAACAGAATAAAAATTAGTAAATCGACATTTCTCCAAAGAAACGAATCCCAGGATCCTAAGCTGAAGTCTACGTAAAAATGTATAATAATGTCAGACAAATTTCTCAGGATATAAATGGATGAACTTCCACCCTGACAGATTAAAATTAATTAAAATCTTCTACCACTAACCATAAATTTAATTCAGCCACTCTGTGAATTTCATACAGCCTCGAGTAAAACTCAGAAAATAGACGTTTTTCTAAAGAAACGAATCACGGGATGCCAAGGAAACGCAAGAGGACCAGTCTCCTTTCATACGTCTCGCGGCTCGTTGAAAGAGATAGCCAGGAAACAAAGGCCGGTTTATCGTGGAAGGTGTTCGGATCGAATTAACGTGTCGTCGGATGGAACGGACAGATAACTAACCTTAGTGACGTGTAACAAAAGGCGGGTGGAGAGGGAAGAAAATAAAAATCGCAGGGAAAAGCCGGCGAGATTAAGCTCGCTTGACAGCCGGTTAGGGAAGGCGCAACGTGTTGCAAACGATATAGGAACAGAGCCGTGCAATCTCCCTTAAAAGCTCCAGATAAGCTCCTGTAGCAACCGGAAGTCAGGCTCATAAACATAGTTACCGAGAACCACGGCCACCAGATGGCGTCTCCCATTAGGAAACTGGCCGATTGTTTTGTCATAGGAACACGAGACAATAACCTTCCTCCATCTGTTCCTTCTTTTTTATCTGTCACCGAGGTCCATAAGATAACGCGGCTGTAAGGACGACGATGTAATTAATAATAACGAGGTGCACGTCTTTTCTTTGTTTACCTTGTAAGGTTATGTCGCGATGTAATAACGTTGTTGGAAGAGATGGAAGGTACATCGTCGGTTTTGCGACCACTGATGTGTCGGTCTGAGGAAGCTTGTAACGTTGTAACCTGACGGAGGTTTCGCGACTGCTCGCTAATAGAGAGGAAGGCAAAAGGAAGTGGATGAAGTGGGATTTAAAAATTCTGAGAAGCTTGTTTCCTTGGTTGCGTGTTAATTTAGGAAGGTAATTAGTTCCTTTGTGATTATTACCTAATTTTCCGTACGATTTATCATTTTTTCCTTGCAATTTCTGGCTGATATTATAATTTTGAGATGCTTGGATGTATTTTAAAAAAACGTGTGCTGATGGGTTCGTTGGGATTATTATTTTATTTCCAAGTTAATATTTTTATTCCAATTTACGAGAATTTTTATTGCATTTTTTATTTATTATAATATTACGAATTTTATGCAATTTCGATATGTTTGAAATTTTGTACAAATTGCAAATTTGTTTTAATTATTTTTATTTAATTGCTATTTCGTTATTCAACGAATAATCGTTTATTTACTTCGTTCGTAACTTCGTTAAGTTCTTCATTACAAGAATTTATCAAATATTTATACTGAACGTTATGAATGGAAACGGAAAATTAGGTGTGAATAATGTAAACTGTGAAAAATATTTTTTTATTAATTAACATTTTATAACTCAAATTTTTCTTCTGTATTTTTTGGTTTGTACTCATTTTCTTCTTTATACTTACGAGGGAAAGTAATAATTACTACTAGATATTAATTGCTATTAAATTATTTATCAACAGTACACTGATAAATAAATTTCATAAATTTCTAAATGCAAATTGCCTGATGTCACAGTGGATAATAAATTTCATCGTCATTTTTTCCATTTTTGTATCAAATTATTTACGCGTTTTTTGAAATAATAATAAAATAATTTTCAGGCTTAATGCGAAATTTCAGCGATTAAAATATTCAATTTTTTAATTTAATATTGCAGGAAGTAATTAGTGATTATTTTCTGAGCATTGAATTGCACGTTTTGAGTGATGCTTGGAGTAAACATAGTGAGTTGAGACGCTTGAAAATAGTTTCATTTACTTGACGATGTCGTGAAGACGACTCGTTAGCTTGCAAATAAACTCGATCGTGATCATTACATTCGCGCTGGAATGATCCTTGGAATCCCTGTATATTATCTGCAGTTAAACTAACTAAGCCCGGTAAGTGAAGGCTTAGAGGGAAGGTTCTCATAGAGCTGTTCTAACGTAAAGTAAATCACGAATGTCTACTAATTGCTACCCCAATGAGATCTCTCGGCTATAATTCATCAGATCTCGTACATCTGAATTTTACGTATAATTACGGTGGACGATATTAAAGTTGTATCATTTCCTGTTATACTCGAATAAGCTGATGCGTAATGCTATGAAATTTTGAAGTCCTACCTTATTACATTTTCATACAAGTTTCGTAGTTTTTGACAGATTGAAGACAGCCGAGAAAAATTCATTCAAATTACCATCATGCGATATTTAATTAGTATCTTGTTCACATAACTTCTGAGAAAAAATAAGTAAAAAATATAGAATTAAATATTTATCAAAATATAGAATTTCTATAAATATTTAAATTTTTCTAAAATATATTGATCTTTATCTAAACTTATTTCAGCAGTCTGTTAATATCTTCTAATTGTAATATTACTCTGCACTTTTAAATAATTCATACACGAATATTATAAATTGTTTAATACCATAAATATAAAAATACATTATCTGTAACAAATAGCAACAAATCCTGACCACTTATATTTAATTTAACAATATTTTAATCAAAAATTCCTGTAGTTTACCAATAACCGCACGTCCAATAAACACCTAATTATTTTCATTACAACACTTTAACTCTCAACTTTTACATGTCCACCATATATAATAAAAATTTTAAAAATATATTACATTGCATAATTACAAATATAAATATTATAAAAATGTGCACGATATAAATTACCAAATTCTAATTCTAATATTAATATCCTGCATAATATTCCCTTCACCACACCCAGTATCACCCTCGCCCTAAAATATCCCCTCTCTCTCCCAAACCTCAACATTCATCTTCACCCTCGCTGAATGCACGAATTCTCCAATCCGCAGCGCACCTGCAGCGTCAACTGGAGGACTACATGATGAACTACCCGAAGGTGCAGATCATTAGGGCACAAAAACGCGAGGGTCTGATCAGGGCTCGTTTGCTGGGCGCGGCAGCCGCCAAGGCCCCGGTCCTCACATACTTGGACAGCCATTGCGAGTGCACCGAGGGCTGGCTGGAACCCCTTCTCGATCGCATCGCTCGTGACCCGAAGACAGTCGTTTGTCCCGTGATCGATGTTATCGACGACACCACGCTGGAATATCATTGGAGGGATTCCGGCGGTGTGAACGTGGGTGGGTTCGATTGGAATCTGCAGGTAAGCGAAATTCCTTTCGACGTTATTTCGCGGGTACCGCCTGCTATGTCCGGTGGCGACCTCTGGCTACCCCTGGGCCGGTCGATCGCCGGTAAAATTTGGAAAATTATTATCGGAATCTCCACAATTGCGTTGCGGAAGGGTGGACGTTGACTGTGTTTTGGCAACACGCGAGAGCTGATTGGTTGATTAGATAGAGGGTTCGGTGGGACAGATAGCGAGGGTATGTTTGGATTTCGGACGCACGTTAGAGCAGGGTCGGTGAATTTTTGCTCGAAAGCGACTGGCTCGTGACAAAGGGTGGCTTATCTTAATTTTGTTGAAGGTAGTTCGGTGTTTGGTGTCGTGGGATACTTAAAATGTGCTTTGCGAGCAACCTGTCTTGGTTGTTGACCTGTGAGTTAGAGTATGGGGAAATAAGATTATATAAGTATATTTATTTGAAGTATAGGGAGTAATTGAATTTGTGCTAGGATGAATATTTTGGAAATTCTTAATGAAACAATTGAATGATTTTGGGATTGACTATAAATGTTTAGGTTCGTATTAAAATATTATAAAGTATATTCTAACAATGCACTTGTAACAATGATATTTGTAGAGCTGCATAAATACTTCTAATAACTTCGTACGCAGATTCTATATTAAAATATGAAGAACGAAATTGTAGTAAAATATAATTATTTATTTTCTGATTTAGGAAGGTTAAAAATACAGTATATTTATTTTCGACTCTTTATTTTATATATTGTACATATATTTTTTTCATGTGTTTTCAATTTACTATTATGGTTAACAAGTATGTTAAACTTTCCATGTATTAATATTTTCATGAAACAATTTTTATTCTTCGTAAGTAGTATAAGTAATACATAATCGGACACACGATCCTTTCAGTAATTCCAAAGATAATTTTCCATTTTACTCACTTTGATGCTATCCTTTAATTAATATTTATCCATCGTATTTACTACAAATTTTATTACGTTATTGCATAATTTTGGATAAAAAATTAAACACGTCAAATAGCATTAAATATATAGATAAATTTGGTTATGAACGAAAATGCAAATGCATATTCAATATACTTTTTATAGAATTATTAATTATATTTTAACGAATATAGATATATATTTCACAATTTTTAATTTTGCAGTAGTAAGTGATGTAGTTATCGATTTTATTTGTCGAAATTAACCATTTCCATGGTTCGTGCGGTATCGAAAGCATTTCGAGATTTCGTGGTCTCTCTACGAACTTCTTACAATTTCTCGATGTCTTTTTGCCTGGTTCTCAAGATTCCTTGATTTCTGTATCAGTTCAACTGGCACGCGGTCCCCGAGAGAGAGAAAAAGAGGCACAAGAACTCCGCAGAACCTGTGTGGTCACCGACGATGGCTGGAGGCCTCTTTTCGATAGATCGAGCATTCTTTGAGCGCCTGGGCACGTACGACAGTGGATTTGATATTTGGGGTGGCGAAAATCTCGAGCTCTCCTTCAAGACGTGGATGTGCGGAGGTATGTACGATACCAATACGACAAATTTGTTCAAGGATTGACTGAAACGAGGAAACAGGTTCACGTGTCTGAGACGACGAAGATCGTCTTTTTTGAAAATACGATACTTCCGGGAGATTCCTCAGGTTTAGGGATTATTTGAACGAAATTCCGGAAACCAATCTGATAGTAACTTGTTAATAAATTATTATTTGAGTGTTAAATATTATTAAATTATTTAGAAAATTGAGTATGGAACTGAGATGGTAGACAATTAATTACTTGAAAGTTAATTAAACACTGTAAAATAGTGTCACATGTTATAGTAGTGTCATATGTTATGGTTTTACTGTACTTCTTCTAAAAGAAAATGGACAACAGATTAATTATTTTTAAGGAAAGTTACTATTAATTATCCAAATATCCAAATCTGAAGTAAATTGAAATTCGAAATTTTATATCACACTTTCCATCAATATAAAATTAAAAAATTTATCGCATTTATCTAAAATTTAACTTCTCTACATCCTTTAAAATATTTTCCATCATTTAACAATTTTTCCAGATACACAATTCTGCATTCCATAAAATTTATTTAAATTCTAAAATTAAACAATTTTTCAAGACATTGCTTTGCATAATTAAAAATATTTTCTAAGATAACAAATTTTAGTACGTCTTAAAATTATTCCACACTCCAAAACTAAACAATCCCTTTTAATTTTCATTGTTCTAAATATTTATATTTATATTAAATAATTATAAAACATATCTCTTCCTCGCAAATCCAACTTCCCAAACCTGAAATCAACTCTGAGTTCTGTTAGCTCGCAAAAACCAATCAAATAATCATCAAACCGATCTTCAAGATATTCCATTTCGATTTCTCGATATCCACTCTCACTCTTCCACAGCAATTATCAGAGAACCCAACCTCGTTCTCGTCCTAATCCCCGTAACCTGTCGAATGCACGTCAAACTCCAATCTTCCAAAACATACAACCACACCGGCTTGCACTCCCATCTACACAGCCTGACGAGTCGCGAGGGGGTTCCGAGAAGTAGTAAATCCCTCGAAGAAACTTAAATCCTCGAAGGCCGCGTGGTTGCAGCTTCTCTGGCGTCGTGGCGAAATAAACTCGTGCCCCTGCACGGCTGCAATCAGCCGTTCCCGCGGCTATGCGAACGAAATTCGAACGTTGTTTCTGTTCGCAGGTACCCTGGAAATCGTGCCGTGCTCGCACGTGGGCCACATCTTCCGGAAACGTTCGCCGTACAAGTGGCGCAGTGGCGTGAACGTGCTCAAGAGGAACAGCATAAGGCTGAGCGAAGTGTGGCTGGACGAGTACGCCAAGTACTACTACCAGAGGATAGGTCACGACAAGGTGAGCGCAAGCTACTCAGCCTCGCCCTTTCGACCTCCCTTGGACCGATCTCGATTCTGCTCCCTCTCTCTCCCTCTCTGAGATCGACTGCTATACTTCATGCCATGTCTCGAGAACATTGCACGAAGTATGGGAGTGATAATGAAGAGAGAAGGAGGTTGAGAAAGCAGTTTTCAATTGACAAGTATGTCCATCCTACTTATGCGAAATTACCATTGGTTGATATCGCTCCCTTTTCGATTATTAATTAACCCTTTCTCAACGGCGCAACGATTTGAGCCACTGTGACGCATTAAATGACTGACGTACGTGTATGACGACCATCGTGAAAGGGTTAAACATTCTTCTACCCTTGAACATAATGGCAGGTGTAGATTGTATTCCACAGTCTTCAGGTTTTAGAGAAAGGAGAATTTTTTAAAGGAGAAATACGATAAATTGAAGAATTTTTTGAAATTCGTTTATGAAGATGTGAAGGGATGTTTGGGTGTTAATGTGGGTATTAACCCTTTGCGAATGGAGCTAGTTTTAGTGAACTATACTGTGACGTCGAGCCACTGCCACGATAGTCATTCAAAACTACCAGTGCTCATTTCTACTTAACACGTTCCGTTTAAGTCCAAATTTGGCTATCAAGTGGGCCACTGACGGCGGACAAAATGTTCGTAAAACTCGGAGATACTGTACCAATTGTTATAACAGGAATTTCCAAACGTTAGGTCCAATGATGGCGACGAATTTAACACCAAAACCTAGCACCTTTTGGTCCTAGACTGAACCGAATCCTGAAGACCGGCGTGGCACTTAACGTGTTAAACGCGATTTTCGTCCATAGCTATGCTAACAATGACATAAAATAGTCCACCACTTAACTTGGGATGTGCGGTCCTAGGTCCTAGGGTTTCTCGGCGAAACTATGCTTCTTGTGAAGGAAGCCCTTGAACCTCCTTGAAGAAGGAATCCTAATGTTATATAACACATGTTTGTTAACTATCATTCTGTAGGGGGTTCTCTCACGAATTTAACACCAAAACCTAGCACCTTTTGGTCCTAGACTGAACCGAATCCTGAGGACCGGCGTGGCACTTAACGTGTTAAACGCGATTTTCGTCCATAGCTATGCTGACAATGACATAAAATAGTCCACCACTTAACTTGGGATGTGCGGTTCTAGGTCCTAGGGTTTCTCGGCGAAACTATGCTTCTTGTGAAGGAAGCCCTTGAACCTCCTTCAAGAAGGAATCCTAATGTTATATAACACATGTTTGTTAACTATCATTCTGTAGGGGGTTCTCTCTCATGTTAGTAGAGCTTTGTCTTAGACGAGGGATACTTAGGAGAGTTTGGAAAATTGTATATATAGGAAATGAAGCATTTTTACCAAGGACTTGCAAGACAGTCCTCGAACCCCCTTCAAGAAGGAATTGTAACGTCAAGAAGGAATCGTATATAACAAATATGTGTTATATATCATTACAATTTTTACTATCATTCTGTAGAGGGTCCTCCCCCATCTTATACGGAGGATACTTAAGAGAGTTTGGAAAATTGTATATATAGCAAATGGACCGTTTTTACCGAGGACTTGCAAAGTAGTCCTCAATCCTACTTCAAGTAGGAATCCACCTATTAACTAGGGTGACAATGATGCTGCTACTATAATATTGCCTTTAGTGGGAAATAATATGTTTCACAATGTATTTACAAATACTGATATTCGAGAATTTTTAATTAAATTTCTTTTATTTTCATTAGAATTTTCAAATTGTGTCTGTAATTATTATGAATATGTACCTGCTTCTAAAAAAATTAATATTGTCTAAGGTCGAGGTAGAACTGTAATTGTATCGTATATCTGTTTATCTTTGTTGTGTTAAAATTACTATTTTCCGTGGACATGTGAGTAAGTTAATTAGGTGTATATTAAGGCACGGTGTTTCCAGTGTTAAATTTAAAATTTCGAGTTGCCGTACATAGTGAAAATTTCATTTTAAAAGGAATTTCCAGTACGCTCGCGTATTCTGAGCACTTTTAATCTCAGATAATAAATTCCCGCAGAACATCGGGATAACGGGAAACCAAACTTTTCAGCCCTCCGTGTCCAAAATGATACCATTGTCTTGAAAATTTCGCAGATCTGTAATCTTAAGCGACAATCCTCTCATAACCATCAACCATCTAATTGCTGCAATCCAGCGAAGAGAAGAGGCAAAGAATTGCAAGCGAAATTCTTCTAATCTTTCACAATCTTATCATTATGAAACCAGCTCTAAACCTTTTAATCTCTAACAATAATTCTCTCTCCTATTACCGAGACATCGGGTTATCACTTCCTCTCCTATCAAGCATCAAATAATCGTGGACTAAATTTTTGCGGTAGGGGACGAAGCTAATTACACGAAGCTGCTTCTCAATTTTAATTCTTCTTATTTTTCGTCGTCTTAATTCCCCTGTTCTAGTTTCCATTGCGAGCAGTGACAGTCTTTTTCCTCTAATTTGACCATAGTTTCTTTATTCTTATTTCTCCTCTTTTATTTATTTGGAGAAATAAATTGTTGAATAAATAATTTCGACTTTTCGAAAGAGGACGTGGAAATATATAGTTACTTATATTTGTTTGATATCGTGATAATGGTTACCTGGTAATACATATAATAATATAGAATAATAGATATAAAAATTATGACTTGAGATAATTATATTTAAAGCTACTCATATCTAAAATCCGTGTAATTTGTAAATAAGTATAGTGTCGAAACATTTTCAGAAATATATCAAAATTGTCGTTAAAATTAATTTAATTTCTGCTGCTTCTACATTTTTTAACAAATTATTTTCCTGCAAACAGAAACTATTTAATTAATTTGCTTACCTTCTCCAAACAATTCACAAAGTAGTATAACGTAAAATATAATCGTCATTTCTAAATATAACAAAATCTCCTCAATTTAATCCTGAAATTTAAGAATGAGTAACTTCAATGGTGCTTAAATGAAAATATCTAAACACAGTACCTATAATGAAAAATTACTTAATTAATTAATTTCTGTTATATTACAGTACTGTTGTAATAAAATTTTTAAAGCAATAATTTTTAAAATCAAAATTAACGAATAACGAGCACGAGGAATTAAAGCAAAGTGAACTGCACGATATAAATTTCACGTCAGTCCCTCTATTTCTGTCAAGATATCAAATATCACCACACATGTCTCGGTTACGTATATACCAAGGTGTAATTCCCCAAGTCACGTACCCAGGGAATTAAGGGCGTATTCGAAGAGCCTTCACGCACTGGAGGGCTTGTTTTTCCATTTGCGCGCGATTTTATTGACCGCGTCAGGACATGGGTCGGCCAGGATAGTCGCGATAAGGGATGACGATAACCAAACCCGGTGATAGAGAGCACCGGAGATCGCCGTAAAAACCGGCCCATAAACGCCAGAAGTACTCTTAAAGATCGCTCGCGTGTCCTAGCATTCCCTGCAAGGCACTTCTTTCATTCCCAACGATCTATCCTTTATCCTGGCAGCTTGTCCCTCCGGAACGAGATCCAATCGAGCATGTGGAACGATGGGGTTGAGGTAAATCGTTGTCCACCTACACGTTCTTCCAACGAGGGTTAATTCTTCCGTTCGTGTGCTGTCTTTTACCACTTGTCGCGAGTAGAGTAGCTTTTATTATTAAATTCAGAAATTTTTATTTTTCCATAAACTAATTACAGTCCAACTGGAAATATCAAAGTAGTCCACAACCCTTTGTCTAATTACAAAAAGTAAAAAGAGAAACGTATAATGGAAATCTCTATTCGATACTGAAAAATAGTTGGTGAAAGAAATATAGTACTTTATACTTAGGTATATAAATATATTATTTAATTTATAAAGCTGTATTATTTCGGTATATATTACAGGTCCATAGTTATAGTATTAAGACTGTGGTGTTCAATGATAAAGATTGAAGAAAGATCATAAAGATGATAAAGATACATGATAAAGATTATTGTTTCTCTTTTTTTCCTTTTTGCAGGAATTTTCAAGTGGAAATTGATTTAAGGGTTGTTAATTGCGGGCATGGAGTGGTAGACGTGATAATGATGTTCGTTATGAAAAAGGGACTTGGGTTTTACTGGTTAAGTACTCGCACGTGTCCGATGTTTGAAGAGAATTTTTATTTTAGGACGCAGTTCAACAGTTTACTCGAGTGTTGCTGGAAATTATTTTACAGCTATCGAAAACGTTTTATCGGTCGAGCACCGGTTTGCCACAATACGTCCTCGAATTTTCCATTTTCTATATTCGAGACATACGTTTTTTCTCTCGACACTTTACAGAACGCATATGCGTGAATCTGACATAAGAATAAATGGAAACAACGATATTTTCGGGAAGTATCCTTCTGAAATATTTGAACTTATCAATCAATTCGTGCAAACAATTCCACGCTCTTTAAATTCTTTATAACAGCCTGTCATGGTTCAGAATATTACACAGATTTTATAATAAATTCTCGAAAATTCTCCTTGAAATAAAATTAAAATTATTAAACAAAAATATTTGATATCAATTTCCAAGTAGTAAAGGTCAACCACTTTTGAATCCTCTCTACTATCCTTTAACACTTATGTCAATAACCAAAATTACACAGATTTTATACAAATTTCTCGAAAATTCTCCTAGAAATAAAATTAAAATTATTAAATAAAAATATTTTATATCAATTTCCAAGTAGTGTAGGTCAACCACTTTTGAATCCTCTCTCCTACCCTTTAACCCTTATGTGAATAACCAAAATTGTCGATGTTGTTGTATATTCTGAAAATACTTCTAATGTAAAACCTTATACAGACTGTGATCAGTATACAAAGAAATTATTATCTTACGAATATTCATTCTCATCTATTTTATGTACTTTGTTATATCAAAATATTATTTTCATTGATTATAATGTAGAATTTTATATAATCATTTAATTTATTTATAAGGCAGTTCAGATATCGAATAAATATATAGTCTACTTTAATATTTCTAGTCTAGATTATGTTATAGTAATTTAAATCACTGTATTTCAATCCTTATTTTATTTTTATGCATAAGGATTGTCATAAATTCTATATTTCTATGTATTTTCTGCGACTTTTGGTCCAAGTTTTATAATTTTATTGTCAAGGAGATATTGTGATTTAAATCACTATAGCATAATCTACACTAGAAATACTAAAGTTCTAAAGAAATACTAAAGTTACTTTATTTTTATGCATAAGGATTGTCATAAATTCTATATTTCTATGTATTTTCTGCGACTTTTGGTCCAAGTTTTATAATTTTATTGTCAAGGAGATATTGTGATTTAAATCACTATAGCATAATCTACACTAGAAATACTAAAGTTCTAAAGAAATACTAAAGTTACTTTATTTTTATGCATAAGGATTGTCATAAATTCTATATTTCTATGTATTTTCTGCGACTTTTGGTCTAGGTTTTACAATTTTATTGTTAATATTTTATTTTTCTGCCTATTCTATACAAAAATATACAAAGATCATCGACATAATGAACAATCCTCAACAATAAAAAAAAGAAATGATCGATTATCGAGAATTATGTATCCTACATAAAAATACACACGAAGCCGATAGAAAAATAAACTAGCAGCGAAAATATAACAAAAATCCTGGACCACTGTGAGCAATCCGTCTAGGGACGGTTCAAGTGTCGATTTCACGAGTAGCCCGAATCGTCCCGACCACGAGTATTGCCATTATTCCGCTCTAGGAGGCTTTAAACTCGAGTCCATAAAAGATTCCGTGTACTTCTCCTTGCTCTTTATTTCCCTCTCGCTTGTCCCGCTCCCTTCCTCATTTCTCTCTTTTTTCCTTCTTTTACGATTATATCTCTCATCCCTTTTCCCCATCCCGGTCTTTAAATCCCTGCTTCCCGGAAACGAGCCTTTCCCTCCGGCACGCAGCCCGGCTCTGCCTTCCAGCTCGATGCGAAATTTCCTCTCTCATGACTCGCCATTTTTCGCAGGGCAAGTACGGCGACGTATCGGAACGGAAGGCACTGAGGAAGAAGCTCGGCTGCAAGTCGTTCAAGTGGTACCTCGACAACGTTTATCCGGAGCTGTTCATACCTGGCGAGGCAGTGGCTTCCGGCGAGGTAAGGATCGACGCGTGTTCCATCCTCGTGTGTTTCCTTTTTCCACAGATGGAGACGGCGATCGGGATCGACGAGAGGATTGTCGCGTGTCCGAGAAGGGTCGCAGAGGACGTTCGCAGGCCAGTTCGATGCGCCACGGTACAGAGATACAACGCGGAGGCTCCTCTTTCGCGGAGAAATGAACAAAGAACGAATGGACGGCGAAGGGATTTCTCTTTTTGCCCCTTTGCTCGGGTTGCTTACTGTTTTTCTTGGACTGTAGAAACGGTATCGTTTCTGGACGCGTGGGCGAAGTCCTCGAGGGGATTCGAGTGGATGTCGAGTGTTGCAAAATTGTTTTTTCAAACGTTCTTTCAGTTCCCTTTTCACGTGGTTTTTGAATATTTTAGACGTTCAGGTGCGAAATGGAGAATGGGTGAGTTGGTGATCTTCTGGGGGCGAGTTTGGGTTCGGTTTGGGAAATTGTTTTTAGTTGTTAAGGAGTTGGAAGATGGGATGTCTTATAAGATAGGAATTTATTCTGGTGTTATTGTAGGATATAACAATTTTTGTAATCTTTTGGTAGCTTAGGATAGATACTAGAAGTGTATCGAATTATTTCGGTTTAAGTCTGCCGAATAATTCATCACCAACATTTGTTGAATCAATTATACGAGAAATTTAAATTTAGGTAAGTTAGAATATTTTTATTTAGTATATCGCGAACGTCTTTTCAATAAATTTTTATTTTATAATTTTTCGATTAATTAGCAGTTAATATTTTATTATATTATCATACATCAGAAGCTCTTGTGATTTAAACATAAAAGAATATTTTCTTCTTTTGCTGTATTATATACTAGAATTTTCCAATCAGTTCAAGAATACTGAGGAAACGTAGATACAAATTACTGATATTAAATTTTCTCAGATAATATATTTAGTATGATTAAAAAGTAATTTCCATTTAGGTAAATCAGGCTGTTTCGATTTATTACACCGTGCCATTACTCGGTGTATTATTTTTTATAATTTTTCAATTTATTGGCAGACATAAAGGAAAGCAATATATAAAGGTACATTTTAGTAAAATTGAACTCTGACGAATAACTACTCTTTCATCTCGTTAATTGCAATCAAAATATTTATTTAGATGGGCAAGAATATTTTCATTTATTATATCCCGTTACTATTTTATAGCGTAATATAATTTTCCATCACTACAGAGCACTGAAAAGAAATCTCTATATAAATTCCAGTCAGTTATGAATTATTTAATTTTTAAGTAACAACACCGACGTATTTCCTGAATTAAAAAGCAAGCAGAATTCGCCGATTCTACGAAGACAAATTGAAAATGACAAAGCATTTCCTTTCTCTCCCCCAAAAAATCAATAAAATTGGCAAGAGTCACGGTCCACCTAAACCCTTCAATTATCGATCTTCAATTTTAACCAATAACCCCTTTACCACATCACTCACAACCAGCCACGATCTGAAACAAAAAAGGAGGCAATACAAAGAAAGCAAGTCACGCGAGTGCAATTTCCACGACACCGTCCTCCCGCTCCTCCCTTTAGTAATTTAATCCTAACATAAACGAGAGCAAACGACGGGGACAAACAACCGCGAGTTATAAGCCGTCAAAGGAGACTTTAATTGCAAAATCGAAATCGAACAGCGAGGCAATGGGTGGCCTTTCGCCGCGTTGAAACGTCTTCGCCCGAAGCGACGTTCGATTCGCCTCCATTATCCGGCGCGACTGCCGATTTCGCGTGCTGTAAGCCAAGAATTCAACAAGCCGATCGAGACGAATCGATTTCCGATCGGATGTCGCGCGGGCCTTTGCCCGCGATCCGATTGAGATTGCCCCGACCGCGGGCTGCATTGTTTCTCGATCGAACGCATTGTTTTCTATGTCGCAAGCTCGTCGACATCAATCATTGTCTCCGTCACCGACAATTGAACTTTGCCTATCTGTGTAGATACAGGTGGTTCGCATTTTCGGCATCGGTGTATAAAATACAGAGCACGCGTTAATTCGCGTATATCAGAATTCAGCAGAAAAGGGGTGCAACGAATCGTGTTTCGACGCCTATGATTATGGTAGCGGATTCGAGTTGTGTATCTTGAGACGTTTTCTGGGATTGGTGGATGTAGGAAGGCTTGGGAATTGTTTGGAGCTTTTATTTTCCTATTGAAGATCGATTTTGGAATTTATTTACTGATAAGTGGTAAGAAACGAAATTCTCTTTTTCGAATTTTTATATATTCCTTTTCTCCTGAGAAACGTGTATTGAAATTTTAAAATAGGTTGAGGAGGTTGTATAATATTGTTTTCCGAATGTCTTTGTATAGAGCCTGTTTTTAATTTTAGATCATGGCAAAATAGTATACTTTTTATAATTTTCTGATCTTTTGTAATCTAGAAGATTTTGTAATTTTCTAACCTGGAAATAAAAAGAAATCGAAGAATTTAGTATTGTAGTATGAGGAATTTTAAAAATAATGATGTTAGTAGATAATTTATTAAATTGTTTTGTTTATTTATTTTCAAGTGTTGCGAAGACTAATTTACATTAATATATTCCAGTAGAATACTTCAATACCGTTCTAATACCTTTTGAAAGTATAAACCTGAGAGGCTTGGAAATTAGTTAATACTGCTTGCGAATTTTTATGCAATTTCAAAATTGTCGATATGAATATCGTCGAAAATTATGTAAGCAATATAATAAATACGTAAGTACCGTAAAGAATATCGAAACATCGTCAATAGAGGTATTAAATTATTAAAAGAGGTTGATTGATACGAAACAAGAGTGCCGCAAGTAGTAATGGTCATCGCATAGTCAGACCCATCGTGTTCACTCCCGATCCAACTTTTCCTGTCAATATTTCATTTGTGCAAAGGATGAATCTGTCCATAGACGTGTCAATGCTGTCATATAAAAATTCTTCTCTCTCTATCCACTAGAAATTATCCATATCCATCCCGAAGATCACAATTCTCGACAGAAATTCAACATAAAGCAACAATTTTCCCCATCTCAGCATAAGATTTATATACGATAACCCCATATCACACACCGTCCAATATTTCTCGCAACACAACAGTACCATAACACTTAATCATACGACCCATTTAAAAATCCATTCTCCCGAAATCATTCATCACTCCGGCCACCCCCTGTGCCCTCTCAAACCTGAACAGGGAAACGACACTGGAGGACGAAGAATTCGGAGGTGTACATAAATATGGACGCTGGGGGCCCGGCGCCAGGGGCGGAAATCACGGGGTGCACCGTCCAACATCGACCGTCTCGCGATTGACAGTGCATTAATTTCGTTTCCATGCGGCGGGGCGGAGGGGTGCGGCGATCAATCACGTCTCGATTTATTTCCATCGTGTTGCGACGCCGTCTACTGGCCCTCTGTTTCCCTGCATTCGTAATTGCGAAATGATTGTCGGGTTTGTCGCCGATAATCCCGCGGCCCGCTTCTCCTACGGGTCATTACGTTCTCTCGACTCGTGCACCCCGTATTTGATCGATGCGATCCCCTCTGTTATCGAACCGCGTCCTGGAACCCCGTGTTTCTCTTCGATCTCGCGAAACTCTCGTGACTACCATGCTTTGTTAGGTAATTACGTGTCGTGTCGCGGATTATTGGAATTTACGACGGTGGTTGGAAGAATTTCGAAGGTGGCGAGGAAGCGAAGGAAAGGGTGATTTTTAGCGGTTCTTCGGGGAAAATGACTTCATTTTTTTTTTTTAAAGGTATTTAGGTTCTTGTTGGATAGGATAGGAAGGAGTTAATTAATTTTTGTTTTAATTGGGAGATTGTGACGGGGTTGGAGAAGATATAGGAAATTATCTTGACAGTATTTATTTATCTGAAGATTATTTGTGAACTGTGAAAGATCGTTTTAAAATTTAGTATATTAATATTCAAATTCAGAAAATTCATCGTGAGTTTTAAATATATTATATTAACTTGGTAGAAAAATAATTTCGATTTTTGTATTTTCGATTTTTGCACCTTGATATTGGAATAAATTGTAAATGTGGTTATGTTATGTATCGTTCGAAAACGCTGACTCTGCTGTATATCTCGGTAATAAACATTTTGTATGTAGTGATGATTTACGTTTTATTTAGGTTATTTAACAGTAGATTTACGGAACCCGTCAATTTGATGGGAGAGTTGCTTCGATTATACGATAGTAACAGATTGAGTTAACTCATATTAAGACTGTTAATAGAATATATAATTGTTTTTAAATTAAACTATTCGTTAAAAAACAAGTCACGTGGTTTCCTTTACCTGTCAATTTGACAGGTGTCCTTAGAAATAGGTATACAAATAGCATCCGTAAACCTAGTGTTAATTAGAAATGGAAAAGGAGCAAAACGAAATTATTTTTCTATCAACCTAATAGATACTACTGATATTTTAAGTATACACTTGACAGAGTTTAGACTGGTATAGAATATAAGGTATATTGTAATATATTCCATATATATTCCCGAATCATATATATATATAGTTTGGACATGTTTGAACATTTTTTGGAATATTTAATTACCATTTATATTTCCACAGAGTTATCTTTTCACCCCACTTTTAATCTCAATATTGTATCTCTATATATCTCAGCAGAGTATTGTAAAAATTCGCAAATTTTCTCTGTATTTTCTCTTATACTTTGTTTCTTCCAAGATCTCCAATTTCTTCATCCACTACATTACTCGAGAAATCGTGGTAGCTTTAAGGTCAATTCCAATCCAATGCAAGGTAAAGGTGTCGCGTGAGTAAGACATCGTTCACACATTTGCGTCCTCTTTCATCTCCTGTGAAATAACACGTAACACTTCGCACATTTAATTAACGTCACCATTTCTGTGTTACCTTCTCGCAACGACTGGTTGGATCAAACAGACAAAGTGGCAGTTGGTTTTCACGAGCGCGAAATCACGTAGGCCTGCGAGCACCCGTAAAGATAACCGCTTTAATGCACA